GATATATTGGATGTGAAATTTTATGTTTCTGTGAGGTGGATTGTCGAGAGGAGGAGTGTATTCAATGTATGGCAAATCTTCATTTCCAGTTTCGTTGTCTCTTTCCAGGTGGCTGCCCCCGCTTTTTTACAGGAGAAGAGGGCAGGGAGGGAACAGTGGAGGAGGGAAAATACCTCCTTCCATTTTTTATAACAAGCCTGTTGAAGTGGGTAATACCAGTGGTGCTGTGGGACCTTCTTCCCATGGGTGATTATTTAAATGAGGGGGAAAGGAAAAGGAAAGTGTAGCCATTGAATAGCAACTGCAAATATAAACAAGTGAATCTCATTTCCTGCTTGTTCAGCTTCTGTGGAGTTTATAAAAGAACTAGGACATAATTTGTGCTTGAGGGTTCATTAGGATATATACAACCAGTAGATTCGTTTTTGTACTAATACTAGAACCAGTAGATGCATATGCATGAATTTGATTCCGGTCAGACTACCCACTTGGCTATCAACCTGGCTGCAATGCTAGCATACTTAATGGACCTCATTAGACCGCCACCAGGGATATTCTGATTGACATGGTATACAAGCAGTGGACCCATGTTCATACTACATCCGGCTACTAGAACCAGTAAAGCCATGCATGTGTGCGCAATTGATTTCCGCATGTGCACACCATTGATTTCCAGTCAAACCACTAAAATAAGTCGCAATAAACAATATTTGCCTGTACATCGGAAGCACAATGTGCATCTTGCTTCTTTGAGACAATGAATGAACCATCTTCACTTTCTCCAGTCCTTTTTCTTTTTTCTTGGAAAATGTTCACTTTTCAAACAGAATGTTAAGTCCAGTCAATTTTCTTTATCTTCTGCAAAAATGGTTGCCAATTAACCTACATGTGCTAGCTAACCTAACTGTACTCTGGTTTCAAGGTAGTTTCAAGGTGTAGTTTAATATTTCCTATCTCATTATTCCTCGAGGCATACAGAAGTTGTTCCGATGATGATCGTCAGGGTCACAACCTTTTTGATGTTTCCGTTCTGTGATGGTTTCTCCCGATCATTACTGTTCCGTGATACAACAACCTTAACGTTTCCGTTCTGTGATGGTCTCTGCCGATCCAAGGTTATCTGGCCGATGCTAATCTGTGATTGGCGCTCATCACAGATATTTTTAGTATTTCCAAGTAACACTGTTTGTTTAGACCTCTTTGGTCATTTACCTCTTCTCATCAAACCATCATTATACATCCCGTTATGAGCACTTGTTCCAAATCCCCTAAACCATCCGACAGTCAAACCAAGCACCATGGGTCAGGGAGGTGTTTAGTGATTGTCACGGGTTTTGCAACCCGTGCGGGTTGCGGGTAAGGGTACGTGTGGGTAGGGGTACGGGTTAGATATATCTGACCCTCGCCGTACCCGTACCCTTGGCACGGGTTGGCGGGTTACCCGCCACAAAACCGCCACATTATTAGACAGTATTTATTGTGTGTGAGCGGTGTTTGCCGGGACCATCATATGCTTCAACAAACAAACATTTTCTTCAATTCTTCCTTCCCTCCCCAACAATGGCTGAGAAACCTTTTGGCTATCATCTTGAGTACGCGTTGTCCGCTCGCGCCAAATGCAAAGGTCACTCCCAATTTATCTCCTCTTTCCCCTCTTGCTGAAACCTCATCGTTGTAACAGGCCCAAAACCATGTCAAGGTTCATTCCACACCCCTCATTTTAATCTGATTTCACTTTTTTTAGGATCCTCAATCGAGAAAGGCCGATTGCGCATCGGCAGTCTCGTCGACTTCAGAGGATCCACAAGCTTGTGCGCACCTCTTCTCAACCAGCATCACCATCGACCATCCACATCACCTGCGTCACCACTACCACCAACAACCACCACTTGCAACTATCGATCCACCGCCCCCAACCACTGCACACCCTAAGAACAGTGACAAGCAACGCCACGTCACACCTCACCTAACGACGCCGGCAACGACCACCACGACACAACGCCCAAAGCCGATGACAACCCACGACCTTCCCGCCAGCACGACCGCCCAAAAAACGAAGACGACCGCACATAAACGAAGACGAACCACCACCAGGCAAAACCGACGACCACCATCCACCACCGCTCGCAAACGACGGCCACGAACGGAAGTGCGCCCATCCCACGTTCGTTCCAACCCACCACGCTGAGACACGGGACAACCACGGAACGACGACGTAGGACCCACTGGTCCATGGGCAGGGAATGTCAAATAGGTGTATCTTCCACCCCCTCTCGCAACCTCTTTCCTTTTGCGCTCCCTTTCGGAGCCGCTTTCTTCTCAAGTCCACTTCCCTCTATCAAGTCTCCTTCCCCCTCACTTCACCCTTCCTCGTCCCTCATTTCTCCTTCCTCCCTTTGCTCCTTCACTCGCTGATCACCACTTAATTTGCACAGGCACCACACATCAACAAAACGGACTTCCTCCATGCCGTAGTCCGTGAAAAGAAGTGGTTCGAGAACACGTTGGACGATTTGGTGGCTGCGGGGTTGAATGGAAGGTGTTGATGAATCAGGTTGGTGCGCTTTTTTCCCCTTCTTTTTCTCCCCTCCCTCTTGTTCTCTTCCTATCCATTTCTTCTTTTTTATGGCTACGAGTGATGACGGCAAACTACGATGGCAAACGACGATTGCAAATGATGAGAGCAAGCATCACCAGCAGCTTGCGTTCCTCAAATGTGAACACGACGAGCTCGGGGCATATTTGGGCGTGTCGTCGCCGTTTGCCCCTTCTGCCCGTACACTGTAGAGGGACGACGTTGGATAAAGGGAGTGTTTTGTATGTTACATTACTAAGTAGATTTGTATGTTACATTACCAAGTAACATGGTCATTGGTGCTAAACCCGTAAGACCCGTAAGACCCGCCAAACCCACGTAAACCCATACCCTTACCCGCAAAAACCCCTACCTGTGGTTGAGGGTACGGGTTTCCAGGGGTAAGGGTACGGGTAAGGCCGGAAGTACCCGGGGGTTACCTGTGACAATGCCTAGAGGTGTTGGACAAAGGAAGAAAGCGAGTTGTTGGAGAAACATCGGGATGAGTACAGAGAGGCCAGTGACTCAGCTCGTGCCAACTTATTGTCTGATGTTTTGTAAAAAATGCTGGACATACTCCCCAATGGAAAGATGTTCAACAAGGAGGAGAGAACAGCTGTTAAGAAGGTAACTAATTTTCATGGTCTAGATATGAATGTCCTTCTGAATGATTTTTAGGATATCAAAGCTTGGTTTGGGCAGCACAGTCGCAAAAGAAGCCAAAAAATGCCTAAGTTGGGTCAGCAGTGGCATGCCCGACGTGTGTTCCAGCATGAGAATAAGGAAGCCATTGATACCGAGGCTACCAAGCTCTGTGTAGAAGCCAACCAAGCCAGCGACACCCAGCCTAAGGGGGGAGAAAGGACTCATTTTGATTTTCGGGAGCGGGTGGTCACTACAATGATGGAGAAACTTACAAAGAAAGAGGTAAAAAGGTTAGAGAGGACAGCCGAGGAGTTCAACAAGAAGGGGGTGGACCCCGAACTCAAGTCAAAGTGAGTCATTTGATTGTCAATGTTGGTTTCTCTGAATCTGTTGTAAGGTTGGCTGTGAAGAACTGCACTGCTCAGATGCATGCCTTTTCCAAGGAGATTTATGACACAATGGGTGTCCGGGTCTTTATATTTGGCTGTTACCTGAACCCCGATGGCACTTTGGATGTCTCAACCTACGACTTCAATCAAGAACTGGGCAATGGAAAGGACTACATCAATAGCCAAGGCCAGAGTTTCCAAGAAGATGGAATAACAGTAGCTTCTTGGAGAGCACATAATGAGGACCACTATGGGTCTCATGAGTTGACTTCGGCTGAGGGAGGACACTGAGGCGGCCGGATGGCCATGACTCTGGAGATGAATAACTATGGGGAGCCCATTCTGCCCAATCCCTCAAACCCACCAGTTAAAACTTCCCATGATGTTCGAATTTGGCGACTAAATCTTCTTCGTTCTTTTGTGAACCAGCATTATAGTAAGTACGTCCAAATATCCCATTATTATTATCCAACTTTTCTATCTATTCAGATATTGCAGCTGGGCAGCAAAAGGGATCAGCTCCATGGACGGCTATTGGAGCAAAGTTGTCCAACTTTGTGGATGAGGAACACATACCTGAGGCTTGGAGAGCAGTAACCGCGGAGGGGGATAACCTTCACAAGTTTCTCGATCCCTCCAAATTTCCGATGGAGATGGTCAGTCAAGCTCTACAATTTTGGTATGAACATCAAGAAAAAGGCAAAGTCGCCTTTCAATTCAAAGCCTTTTTGGAGGGCAAAGCGGTTCGGGAAGCACCTCCCTAGCAGAAAATCAAAGTTCTAGTTTCAAAATGACAAGTTCATAGTGTTGGGAAGGGAAAGAAGCTCGGCAAAAGCAAGGGTCAAAGGAAAGGCCAGGCAGCAACCAAGTCATTGTCAGATGAGGAAGCTACAGTTGGGCAGGGAAGGAAGAAGGGAAGGACCGAGTCCGGGTCAGATGAGGAAGCTCAGCTGACTCAAAAGAAAATAGCATCCAAGAGTGGTTGGGAGGACTCTCATACTGAGTCTGGGTCAGATGGGGAACCTCAGTCTACAAGAACGAAAGGGAAGAAACCTCAAGATCAATGGGACTCTGATGAGGAAGCTTGGCCGAGCATGGCAAAAGGAAGGCCAAATCCCAAGGTGGATGTGGAGAAGCAGGGAGTTCGGCCGATGAAGAAGAAGGCAGCCGACTTGAGAGGAACCAAGCCTGGGTCAGTCAAGGAAGCTCAGCCGAAACACGAAGTTCGGCCGACCAAGAAAGCAGTCAAAAAGAACAACTTGACCACAAGAAAAGGGGAAGATGAAGATCAATGGCACTCCGATGTGGAAGAGGAGGAAGCTTGGCCCAACAGGACGAAAGCAGTGAAGTTCCTAGGGTCAGAAAAAGCAGCTCAGAAAGATCAATGGGACTCTGACTCAGATGTCAAGAAGCAGGAAGTTCAGCCGATCAAGAAGAAAGCAGCCACAGTCAAGGGGACAGGAACCGAGCCTGGGTCAGACGAAGAAGCTCAGCCAACGACGAAGGCAGCCAACTTTGAAGGAACCAAGCCTGAGTCAGTTGAGGAAGTTCGGCCAAAACCCAAAGAACAATGGGACTCGGACTCGGATCTTGAGAAACAGGAAGTTCAGCCGACAAAGAAGAAAGCAGCCACCAAGAACGACTTCGATGTAAAGGGGACAGTAGCTGAGCCTGGGTTAGACGATGAAGCTCGGCCAACAAAGAAGACTATTGATAACCTGAAACCTAAAGGTGAAAGCTTTTGGGAAATGGACTTTGCGGAGCCATTGGGTGGACATGGGGTGAAAAGAAAATACAGTGACAATGAAGAGGATGCCCTCCCCAACAAGACTTCTCGGTTGGAGGCCAGTTACAAACTTGGCCCCAAAAACGGCCGACCTGGCACAATCAAGAAGGCTGCTGGCTCCCCTGTCGTACAAGACGTTTCCATTGACAAACCATGTACCGAGGTCGATCCACATGCTGGTCGCAGCCCATCAACTAACATTGATTTAGTCAAGTCGGCCATGGCTGTCCCTGTCAAGGCAAAACCTAAACCTCGGCCCATCAAAGGCAAGGTTTCCACCAAGATTGGTCAAAGAGAATTGCTGAAGAGAGTGTTCGAATCACCCAATCCAAGAAACATTAGTTTATATCTTTTTAGAATAATGTCAATTCGTTTTGTGTTGGAGTTTCACCCAAGTTCGTAATTGCAAAAGGTACATAAAACTACTTATTCACCCCAGTCCCGGGCCTTCCCCTTGTTCGTTACAAACGGTTTTAGTGAAAGTAAGGTGGCATCCAATGCTGCTAAAATATCTCGATCAGTTTCAATCTGTTCAACCAACCTTTCTTTATCCCTCCTCATTCGAGTTAGAATATACTGATAATGGCTGGTCGTCGTAATGTTTTCAGGCAGGGATATGACCGCCTCCTGGTGAATACGGCCTGAAAGAGAGTCCATGGCATCATCGTGGTTATCATCGTGGGTAAGTTCTTGAGAGTCATGCTGATCCAATTTGGCCTGCATGTCCCGGACTCTGGTATGGGATCAGGTGAAGGATCTGGGTCAGTGACCCTTTCCCAGACTTTGGTGAATCCCTCTATCATGTCGCCAAAGGTCTTATTGACACCAGAATTTTCCCACTGGGCACGGAGATCGTAGTTTCGATACATCCCCCTCGCACGTCGGGAGTTGGAATCCAACTCCACCAATTTGGTTGAATGTGGTGGGCGGGGTCCTAACCGACGATGTGTATGGATGAAGATCGGGTATGGAGCATATGCCATGGCCTGACCAAAGGCAGTTGGTACGATGGCCCTCGTGCTTTCAATTGGACCCAGGCTTTCCTCGGGCTCGTTTGGGGGCTGTAAACTCGGGTTGGCATGATGGCGATTGTGCTTTGAATGTGACCCAGGGTTTCCTCTGGCTGGCTTCTGGCTGCTTGACGCAGGGGTAGATGGTTGAAATGAGAAGACCGACTTGTCCACATCTGTTATGATGGGTGAGCTAAATGCTTTTTGAATGTGAAGAGGAAATGTACAAACCTGAGATCACGACATCAGGCTTGTGGAATTCAAAGGAAAAATGAGTAGTGTTTGAAAGTCCGGTTCGGTCCGGTTTTTTGATGCCCAGGGGTGTTAACCGTAACCGTAACCGGTCTGCATTTTCCCCAGAAGTCAAAAGACCAGACCGGACCGCAAAAAGACCGCAGACCGCGGTTTTTTGCGGTCTATAGACCGGTTTCGGTCTGCATCGGTTTTAACTGGTTTATGACCGGTCTTTAGGCCAATATTTTAGAATTATTAATCGGTAAATTTATTAACATTTTTAATAGCTTCAAAACGAGCCCAAGAACGTTAAATTCCGTTAGGAATTGGTGCTTCTATAAAATAAGTCTGGTACATCTATTATTCCCCAAAGTAATTTACATTTTAATTCATATCTCTCTCGTTTTTTTACCAAATCGTACGTTCTTGGGTGCGTTTTAAAGGGTATTTAAGGGGCTACAAAAGACCGGTCCAAACCGGTTAAAACCGGTTCACGTTAACCGGTCTTTTTGCGGTCTTTACATTTCAAAAATAAAAGACCGTAACCGCAGGTCCGGTCTTTTGCGGTCTTGGTCCGGTCTGGTTACGGTCTTTTCCCAGTCACGAGACCGGACTTCCAAACACTAAAAATGAGAGCCCGAGGCCGGGGAGGACATTCCAGGTTTCTGAAAATCAAAGATCGACTGTGGTGAAACAGTGGCCTTTGTAAAATCAAACATCGCCCGGTCCAAACCAACATCTTTGGCCGGGGAAGACACTTTGGGTTTATCAAAATTGAAGATGGCCCGATCGAAAGTAACTTCATTGGTGGGGGAGGAGAGTTTGGGTTGGTCAAAAGTGGGCATTATGCCCAAGCTCGGGGAGGAGATTCCAGGTTTCTGAAAGTCAAAGATGGACTGGGGGGAGGGGGAAGACACCGTGGGCTTTGTAAAATCAAATAGGGACCGATCGAAATTAATGTCTCTGGCCTTTGCAGAAATGGCAGACGTTTGAAAATTGAAAATAGATTTGTCGAATGTCGGGGCCGGGCGAGAAACAGTCAAATCAATGGACATCAATTGACTCTCTTCACGTTCTAATGAAGACCACATTAATATCAATCTGTAAAGCTTGGCCCATCGACTTACGTTGCATAATGCTATCCACGTCGACTTCCATTGCTTGTTCAGTGGACTGCATTCCATTGTCGCTTGGTAGGTCTGTTCGCCCGATAATGATTGAAGGTTGGTCAGGTTATAAGACTTGCTTACTTGGGAGAACGTTTTGATGTTGGGCCATTTCTAAGGTAAGGTTGTAACAGTGTTGGTAGTAAAAGCCCAAACTGAATTATTTACCTTCCTGCACCTCCCTATGCTCCAAGTCTTTCATTACAACTTCTGTGTCAAAAGAATTAGTGACAATGGTTGCCTGGAAGATTAGACATTCTCCTACCTGGGTTTGTCAAAGACATATCAGCCATGGAGTAGATGGCTTTTCCAGGGATTGCAGTTGCTAATGAACGTTGTTCAAGAGAAAGGCCCATTGTTTTGTTTGGCCTTGCAATGGCCCTTGAAAATTCAACCATGGGAATGAAAGCCACCGATGATCAGCCGTGGAACATTCTGAGGATCTCTACTCTTCTGACGCCACCACGTGACTCTGTTGACAACTTTTCGACATCAACTTTCATCATCGTCTCATTCTAACCCTTCGTGCCATTCCAACTCCAATGTCCTCCACCATTACCATAGAAGCTAAAGCCCACAATCTCGACCCCGGGTGTTTGGACGATGTTTGGTTTCAAAAAGAATCACTTTTGAGGTTCATCAATCGAAATCAAGCGACTCTTATGAATTCCAATGACGTGAACCGACCGACCTTAGAAGCACATGCCTGGGAGAAAGCTGTAAGTAACTACCTTATATTTTGTTGAATGACACTCAGTTTCAC